ACAAAACTGGCTCTTGAATAAAAATGTAAAGCTATTTCTAATTCTTTATGAAAAAGAGAAACCGAATTGGCCTAGCACGGCCCACACGGGTGCGACCCACGCGCTGAAGCGGCCCACGGCGGGGAGCCCACGCGCGCTCTGGCATTTTAGCAGAAAAGCCCCCGCACTTTTTGCTATTAACGCGACCACTATGTGCCCTATTTCTTTAGTCATCGATTATGCGCGAAGGCCCCCGAAAAGACTCATCTTCACACCAGGGAGGTCCCCGAAGCCCTCGCGCTCGCCGGCGCGCCGGTGGCCGGCACGGAGCCGCTACATCGACCAACTTAGACCCGCGCAGACCTAGCTAGGGGGTCGATGCTCACCTACGGACCGACGCGCAATGTTGGGCAGCGGTTAGAAGACCGGAGACGAAGTAGGGCGACTTGCCGCGGCGGACACGACCGCGTCAGTAGTGTTGGGACAGCGGTAGGGGTACGGCTCTGGTGCACATGGCGAGGAGGGGTTCGAGGCAAGTCTAGCGGTGCAGCCAATTTGGCTCGAGGTGGTCAGATGGGAGCTGCCCTCGGTGATGGGCGGACTCTGCCTTATCAGCACGGTGGCGGGGAAAAGCTCCAAAATTGAAGCTCGGTGGGGCACCATTCAAGGCGGGGTGGGAACGGACTGCTAGGCTGGCTTGATGGCGGCGGTAGAGATGCAATGAAACAACCTGAGGTGACCTCTCCCTGCCGAATTTACTTTCGTGGCTCAGTCAGCCATGGTAGCAAAGAGGGGGGAGAGAGAGAGGTAGGTGGGCTCACCTTAGCCTCGTCTTGGTGGGACGCGGTCGACGTGATCGGGGAGACACGCGCGCAGACGCTATGGACAAAGCACGTGCGTCCATGACCAGGCACGGCTTGCACGGCCACAGTGCCATAAATGGCAAGACGATGGCGAGCACAGCCATGTGCGCGCAGCAGTGGCGGGCATCAGACCGGGCCAGCATCGGCGATGGTGAGGCGACGTCACCGGCAACAGCTGCACCACGGTGCGAAGCAAGGAGGGCAGCAGCACCGTGAGGACGCGGGGCCATAGCAGCAGTAGTGCAGCAGCGGGTGGGGCAGGGTGGTCGCCGGGCGCGGTGGCCAGTGGCTAGTAGCAGGTGCTGTGGCCTAGGGTGGCCAACCCACGGCCAAGTAGTGGCCAGAACGAGCGTGGCCTTGGCTGGCTGGCCTGCGGTCATGCGCGGTGACCACGCGCCCAGGCCTGACGTCTAGAGCCTGAGTGCGTGCACGAATTTTAAAGCACCCGTAAAAACTAAACGATTGATCTTGGAATCAAGCCACCTTCACCATGCTCAAGAGAGCATATTAGGATATCCCTAAGAACTAAAACATAGTACTAATCTTTAACTATACTTCTTGGAATAAATTCGCAAACCCGGTGCTGTCAAACTATTTTCAAGCTTAAGAAGTTTCTGTCTTTAAGCTAGTTTTGATTTCAAGTTCCATTTCTAAGCTATTGGAAACACTAGCTAGCAATGTTATTTTTCTACAGCAAAGGTTGCATTGCCATCTACAAAGTTTGTACTTCAAAATTTATTTAAGCATCACACACATGTTCTATAGTATTTTTGTTCCATAAAAATTGGTTTAAAACCCTACTTGTTATACATGAGCTATTGAATCAACTTTCATTTAACATTTTTATTAGTCATTTTAGGTTACAAGAAGTTGATCTACACACTTTATCACATGCTTTATCATATAAACATGATGCTCATGACAAGGTTTAGTGGTTTGTTTATGGTGTAACACCGAGGGTGTTACAACAATATGCGAGCAAGCCTAGTGGACTGTCTATGTGAACAGTGTTTTTGCGTTAGGCCGGAAGTTCCAGCGATCTATGTCGGAACTTCTGACTTGATCCTGAATGGTTGGATTTGCCCTTGAGTATAAATAGCTCTCTCTCTCTCTCCTCTAACCACTGACCATTGATTCATTGCTCACCAACCTTCATCCAAAATAGCTTCTAAGCATTCAAGGAACCCCTCTCCTCTCTACCTTGGTCAAATCTTCGATTCCCCTAGGGTCTTGAGTGAAAGGAGAGTGGATTGAGTGAGAAAATCACTTTGGCAAGCTTGAGCCCTTGATTTCTTTGTCAAGTCGGTTGGATTTGCGTCTATTACTCTTGGGTTCTTGGAACCCTAACCGGCTAGGCGTCGCCCAAGAGCTTCCATCTTGTGGAAGAATCTTGGCAAGTTTGTATTACCCTTGATTTCTTAGTGGAAAGCTCGAGTGACCTTTGTGGTTGCTTTGAGAGAGGCAAGGAGGTGGAAGAGACTCCGACCTTTGTGGTCACCTCAACAACGAGGACGTAGGAGCTCCTTTGTGGGGTTGCCGAACCTCAGGATAAATTCTTGTGTTCCGCGTGCTTGTTGTTGTGATTTGTGCTATCATATTTGTTCTAGTTGGTTTGTCTTCCTCCCAAACTCTCCTCCTAGGGTTTAGACTCGATCTACGAAGTGGTGACCTTCAGGCGTCAAAGAAGAAACCCCAACACTTCACCTTACCACTAGGGAGAGGGGTTGTAAGATATCTTTCACTCAAAGTTCGTTGTAGCACTTGTAGTACAATTCTCGTAGGCGCCGGAAGTCCTAGCTATTTGCATCATAACTTCTGGGTGCCGGAAGTTCCGTCCTAAATTGTCGAGACTTCCGACTGTCACTAACATTTGACTTTGAGTTTACGTAGAAATTTTTAAATACACCTATTCACCCCCCTCTAGGCATTGTTTAGATCCTTTCACTTAGTCGCTAGCCTGCTTGCCCCTCTGCAGCGCGTCGGAACTCCCGACGTTTTGTCGGAAGTGCCAACTACCGGAAGTCCCGGCTGCTATCTGGAGTTCCGGCATTGGCTGTGCCCGCCCCTTTGACCGCATGTTTGACCAAGTTATTTATAGGCGTCGGAAGTTCCGGCGAGATCAGAACGGTTGGATTTTGCCTAAGAGTATAAATAGCTCTCTTCTAACCGTTAACCACTCATTCATTGCAACCAACCTTCGTTCAAAACAGCTCACAAGCATTCAAGGCTCCCCTCTACTCTTCCTTTTGCTCCTAACTTTGATTCCTCTAAGGATTTGAGTGAAGAGAGAGTGGATTGAGTGTTAGAATCATCTAAGCAAGCTTGAGCACTTGATTTATTCGTCAAGCCGGTTGGATTTGCATTCATTACTCTTGGGGCTTTGCCTCTAGCCGGCTAGGCATCGCCCAAGAGCTTCCATCTTATGGAAGAGCCTTGGAAAGTTTATATTACACTTGATTTTTAGTGGAAAACTCAAGTGACCTTTGTGGTTTCCTTGAGAGAGGAAAGGAGGTGGAAAAGAGAGTCCGACCTTTGTAGTCACCTCAACAACGAGGGCGTAGGAGCTCCTTTGTGGGGTTGCCGAACCTCAGGATAAATCATTGTCTCCCGTGTGCTTGTTGTTGTTGTTGTTGTTGTGATTTGCTTAATATTACTTGCTCTTGATTATTTCCTCTCCTTCTATCTTTCTCTTAGGGTTGGGATCCAATCAACCGAGAAAAAGCATTTTGGCGTCAAGGAAGTGGTTTTACATCTCTATCTAACCACTAAGTGGGGGTGTAAGCGATTTCATTCTCAAAGTTCATAATGCCGCAGATTTCGTAGTTCACGTAGGAGTCGGAACTCTCAGCAGTTTGCGTTCCGGCTCAAACTGTCGGAAGTCCCGACAATAACTGACATTTGAACTTTAGTTTGTGTTGTAAAATTTTAGATACACCTATTTACCCATTTATGCATTATGGGATCCTTTCACTTTGTTATTATGTTTTGCAACCCCCCGAGAGGCTCGGTCGATGTACTACCACTATTAAATTAAATTAATTCATCTTGATTACTACTAGTATTAATGATCTGCTTTATTCTAGTGCAAGTATTGCAAACCTCTTTTTTTTTAAATCCGGAACCCATTTTGTTCCAGGACATTTTATACCGTTTCTCTAAGGCTAAATTGTTTCCGCAAGAGAGATCTAAAAAAAAAATTCTGCAAGAAAAAAAAAGTGTTCCCGGCAAAATTCCCATGCTAGCACTATAGAGCAATCGATGAACATTGCTTAACTAGATGAACAATTGTCTGTTCTATATGTGAACCTGGATGCTAAATAAATTATGTAACCTATGTTAATGTCAGGCTACATGTGAAACCTGGATGTTATTGGCCATCTCATGTTATTGTCTTTTTTATGCACCAAATTGGTTTATATTATGAGATGATGCTGGTGCTTTTAATTAATGAGATCTATTAATTTGTCCAAGCAAATAAAAAAGAGAAGTGTTCAATTTTTAAAAAAATTGTCATGAGCGAATGAGCCTGTGATTCAGTGGTAGGGCTGTCCAGTATTTCTCTGTATTTTTTCTGTATTAATTTGTACAAGCAAATAAAAATTGTCGCACTTTTTCTGTATTTTTTCCAGAAAAGTAAGAGCATTAGGCTGAATCGTAAGCCCTGCTCCAACTCCGTGCAACTACCCGGAGCGCATTTTTCTTCCATTTCACATTTGCTCTTCTTCCCTCTCACCGGGGACAGAAAGGAAACGGTTCTGGAAGTATAACAATACAATGGCACCCTCTCCTCTCCCCAAAATCACATCCAATTCAATGCTGCTCCTGCCTCCACCTAATCCAGCTGCTCTCATCACTTCCAACACCACCGCTACCAGCCACCCTGCCGGTACGTTGCTGTCAGCAGCAAAAATTATAGTAGAAAAATTAGATTCACAAAAATAAGAAAAATAGAGATGAATCTTAGGCACACCATTTTCTCCCAAAAGTCGCTTAAAAAGAAAGAGCATTAATGACTGAATTTTCTCCCAAAGTCGCTCAATGCTACCCAGTTCAAACCAGACATGTCCGATAGACACACCGGACAAGGAAAATTTTGCTCCACAAAGGAAAAATTTGCTCGACAAAAGAAAATTTGCTCAACTTACATGGCGCCTGCTGTCAGTAGAGCCCTAAAAGTTTCCACCAAAAGGTCCCAATACCTCCCCAGATCAATGCGTTAATCAAGGTTGATATAAAACCAATCCTGAAAACATCGGGAAGCTCAAGATACCCAGCTGCAAAAGGAAAGCAACATGTTAATTGAGATAGCAATCTCAAGGGACCGCATACATAGAAAAAAGAAGGGACACTCAAATGATAGAGCTTCTCATTCTATACGAAAACAATAAACAACCAAAAAACGTGAGCCAAGAATAACCTATTAGAGTGCACGGTTAGATCCAGACCCAAACAGATCTACTAACTGACGAACGCAGAAACATAACTATCATAGAAGAAAATACACAAACGAGAATGACACCGAGGCACGATGTTTTTTAACGAGGTTTTGTGATGTGGCTACATCCTCGGGGCATGACTATGAGCGCTCCTCCCCATAAAACAACAGCTACACCGGCATCCGGGTGATCCCGCAGCCTCGCCGTCACCCAGACCAGCCGCCAAGTCGTCTCACGGTTACAACAGGGTGGCCTTATATTTATGGCCGCCTAGGACTCAGAGTTAGACTCCAACTCTGTCCAGCCCCTAATACAACTCAAGTCCAACGTAATCAAAACTGTACACATGTCTTGACATATATCTAACATAACCAATAAGGAAACTAGGTTCAGAACAGAAGCTGGACCAATGAAATTACCTCCAAAGTATACCGCTGCCTGCCCACTACTGTAGTGAGTTATTCCCCCAAACAAATCTGTGTTGAACGCCAAAGCAAGTGCTGAAAGCACACGAGGGACACCTGCTGCTACATGCATAGCCAGAAATGCCGAGTACAAGGCTCCAACATGCCCAGTTTGGCTTGCAAATAGATAATGGATCACAAGGTAGGAGGCCTGAAGAACACAAAATGCTGCAGGCCAACTCAATGAGAAAGACTGAAGCAGCTTAGCAATACAGCTTGACATCCAAGAAACAATCCCCAGGTTTGTGAGTTGTGCTGCCATCCCAACCAGAACTGAAAACCAAGCCAACGTATCCCATGCGGATTTTTCATTCAAGATATCAACCCAGTCCAGCACACCAAGCAGAAGAAGAATGGAGAGCCCAAGCATTGCAGCCACAACACTGGACACACCAATAGCATCCCTGCACAGAAATTGCACCATGTTACATATCCATCGTGACCTTTATTTTAAAAAATGAACATATCCATCATGACTATGGGACACAAAAAGCACACCAGAGTACTATTTCTAGGGCACAATGCATAAGATCTCATAAATAGTGTTCTAAAGCATTTTGCCTAATTTGTAGTAGCTACCAATAACTGAAATTAGGGATTAAAGATCTACGATGGGTCTCTCAAGTATTTAAACATGTAGTGATGGATATAGATGAATACGATCATCAGAGATAAATAAAAAGAAAACATGTGTCATCAATAGCAGGATGCATATGGACCACCAAGTTTCCTTTCATATTAGAAGCAAGCAAGGAGCAAGGAAAGACAAACAAAGAGTGGGAAACAGACTATATGAATGGGACAGTGCACTATGGCAAATTAAGGATGAGAGAATCAAACAATTATTCGCTTTCAGATTAATTTGATCATTCCAAGATAAGTGTAATGAGGCTTTCTGGAGCAGCTTGCGAAAGTCCTTGCAAATGTTTTATTTATAAAAGAACCATATAGTAAAATAGGTGGCAGGCTGCAGGATGGTATTGAGATCACGAGTCAACATTATGAGATGATCTTCTTCAGTGACGGATAATCTTACCCAAAAATCCATAGCGCGACTGCAAGAATCATTGTGCCAATCATAGCCCATTCATTTTTAGTCACCGACCCCATCTGCTTCTGCTTCTCTGCAGCCAATGCCGGGGCCTCAGGGGTGTCCTTTATTTCAGGGGGGAAGATTTTGTATAGCAAGTATGGCGTTGCTAGGAGAGAAACTATAGCTGGCAAACTAGCAGCTTTAAACCATGTTACCCATGGATTTGCGATAATAACACCAAGCTCTTCTGCTAGATTCAAGCACAACAGATTTTGTGCCCCAGCAGTCAGGAATAAAGCACTTGAGCTACTAGCTGCCTGTCAAGCAAAAGAAAACATCAAGATGCATAACATACCAGAAGAAGTATATGAACATTTACCAATCATGCGTAGACAGAAACCGATCTAATAATATTCACCCCAAGAACAATATTTCAACAATGGAATTGCTAAGTTTGATTTTGAGGATTTTGGCACTAGATGTCACACTGACAGGCAGATCCTAGAGTCACATGCCAGCAGGGGCGGATCTACAGTATCCCGTCGGGGTCCGCCGACCCCGATGACTTCCTGAGAGCGCCTAGTAATCGCTATTTTTTCACTAGCTTGGACCCCATTGTAATTGGAAACTGACCCCGGTTACAGCCCAGCCCATAGAAGCAGCAAAGTCCACTGCGTCGACGCAATCGTAGCCTCGTAGGCTCAAGCAGTGCTACTACGCACGCCCAGAAGCGAAAAGTCATGAATCTCCACAACCTACAGGTGACTGTTTGTACCGGCGTCACATTCAAGGCTTCAAGCCTCTCTGCCCCGGCGCTCCACTGTTCGAGCCTATATATAGGTATTCCAAAATACCAAATCGTACAGACGCATGCACAGATGCCTCTACGCTACTACTAGCAATCATTGGACCTTAGATTTTGATGCTTATTTTTTCAGTTGGTTAATATAATCAGAATTCGGAAGCAAACCATAGAAAGAATTTTTCTCTACATACAAGCGAATGAGGATTGAGTAGTAGAAAAATTGGTTGATTTAAGAAAGATGTCAGTTAAGGAAATTCCTTCTCTAATACTGTAATTTAATCATGGTTCTTGCACATTACTCAATGGCCCTTGATTTAAGAAAGATGTCAGTTAGGAATTTGGAGAATTTAATCATGGTTCTTGCATGAATCTGGAGGGAGGAATTTGTGAGAGCGTGAACGGTGTTTTTGTGAGAGCGTGAACAGTGTTTTTCCATCCGGGAACAGTGAATCCGGCTGGTTTTTCAACCAACCGAACGGCGCCAATATCTGCTTTACTGCTTAATTATGTTGACTAATTTGATAGGCAATCAAAACACACTAGAACGATTCTTGAAAAGGAAAATTCCTCCAACTAGTGATAATCACATTGCTTCATGGAACAAGAATTTCTTAATGCAATCCTAAATGTTGATGTAATAGTCCGAATATGAATAGACTGAAACTATAAAACATAACCACTATTGTAAAGAGTTTATTTTATCTTATTATGATATTGCTAATTTTATCCCTCCATATGAACTTTTGACTTCTACAATATGCCATCATTATTAACATTTATGTCTATTATGTATAGATCATGGTGTTAGATTACTATATATGTTTTGGACAGAAGCGAACCTAGAGCTTCTTATGAGCCTGGGCAATGTATAATAGCTAAAGTAACAAATTAAGTTTAATATCGAAAGTATATAGACTAAAAAATAATTAATTTTACATAGTAGAATTATACATGGACGAGTCCGGACAGTGGCCCAGGGTCACCGGACCCTATGTCCGCTAGTGGTTTTGGTTTTACGAGTCTATGCCGACCCCGGCGACGATTTATTCTAGATTCGCCACTGCATGCCAGTGGTGACGAATCCAACAGTACAATGGAAACCCATGATTTTAATATATTTTTAGAACTTCTTAATTTCCCTTTTCACTTTTACAAGGCAACGCCACATTAAAAAAAAGGCAACATGAAGAAACTATAAACTGTTGGGCATCAACCCACATTCTTTTATATATATATTTTCCAGAAAACGGAATGTGGTCAGAGCAAGCATTGCACTTAAAAGTCAAATCACCTTTGTTAAAGTTAAGGTTGTATGTACCAACAAAGTTTACAACATTATGGCTGCTTAGATTAGGTGGAAATCCACCTAACACAGTAATCTCAGATATCAGATGAATTATAATCATCTCTATCATTTGTGCTTATAAATATGGTACTGTTTAGTGAAAGATATTTGGTATTACGAGTTCAGTACCGTTTAATGGCAACTATTTGTAAGCAAGAAAGCATAATCTACAGAGTAAGGTAAGGGTAAAATAGGCTCTCTACAAGGAAAATTGAATTATTAAATTATTACACACACAGACACACACAAACACTATTTCTTTACTAAAATATACTACTTTTCACATTGCCATCAGTTGTCCATGTAGAAAATCTCAGGCATCAACAAGCAAGAGAAAGAAAATGAACTGAACTGCATTGATTACTTGATTAGCAATGGCTTCGGTTCTGACCCAAAGGTAGTAGGTTCAATATCAGAACAAGTTACTGTTTATTGTCATGCTATTTGAGTGGGGCAGCCAATATTTTTTCTTGTCATGAATGTTTTAGTGACAAAATGCACAGAGAGGAATGGTGCACCATTTTCATGAACCCTTAGCTTGAAGCTGAAATGCACAATATTTTGAAGAGGACTGATGAAATTTTGAATCTGAAATGCACAAAATTTCAATCCACCAAGAGAGATGTCCTTAGTTTTTAGCATGCAGATAAACTACTACTTTCTGATACAACAATTACTGATATAGCATCTGCATCATTGGGAATTGCTCCCTTCAAGATATGTGTAATCATATATGTGAAAATACAGTCCATGCAGTATATTGGATCTATCTAATCTAGGAACAAGAAGCAATCAGCAAGTTCATCAATTGATATCTGACGAACTGCACTACTTAATTACCTTTTTTTTAAAACACTACTATATTACCTGGAATTGCGACATGACAAGATATGTTCCGAGCTTCCGTGAAGACGGATGATTGGGCTTGCTCCCAGCCGAGAGGGAGAGTGACTTGATGATCGGCAGGAAAATGCCCCCTGCCCTCGCCGCAGTGCTGGGCATGGCCGGCGCTATGCAGGCCTCGCCGAGGGTGAGCCCGTAGGACAGCCCCAGCGTGCTGCTCCCGAGCCACTTGACGAAGTAGGTGGCGACGCGGTCGCCGAGGCCCGTCTTGACGAACCCGCGCGCGAAGAAGAAGGAGATGACGATGAGCCAGATGATCTCGTTGGTGAATGCGGCGAAGGCGGTGGCGAAGGGGAGCGTGTGCGTGGCGACGGCGGCCGTGAGCCCGAGGAAGGCCCAGGCGCCGACGGGAAGCGGGCCCAGCACGAGCCCCGCGATGGTGGAGAGGAAGATGGAGAGCAGCTGCCACGCCCGCGGGCTCACCTCGGCGGGCCGCGGCGCGAGGAACCGCACGGCGAGGCCGACCGCGAGGGAGATGACAAGCGGCACGAGCTTCGCGCCGGAGGGCTTCGGCTCGGGGCTAGAATCAGGGGCTGGGGAGGCGGGCACGAGCTTCGCGCCGGAAGCGGCGGGGCCGGGGAGCTTTGGCTCGGGGCTAGAAGCAGGGGCTGCGGAGGCGAGGAGAGGCTGCAGGAGGTCATGGCGAGGCGTGGGGCAGAGGCGATGATGGTGCGGGGAGAAGAGGGAGGGGGAGGTGCGGGGGAGGGAGATTTGGCCGGGGAGGCGGTGGAGGTGGCAGCGGCGGAGGTGGGCCGACGCCGGTGCCGGGAGAGACGACGGCCAGTGGGTGTCGGCGAGGCGGATGCTCTCCATCGGCGGCCGCGGAAAGTGGCGGGGTGGCCGAGTGGCTGTTGTTGGTTTCAGTCGCCGGACAGGAGAGCGACCATTTTGAAGTGCATAGTCGGGCGGAAAGTGGCGGGAGTGGCCGAGGATTGAAGAAGCAAAGTTAAAGTTTTGGGCTAACTTGACAGTGTCGATGCGTATGAGTTACGACACAGATGAGCGGCAGCCACAGGCCTGGGCTGCTGGGCCGTTGGTGCCTTGGGTGGTCCGTCGCAGAAAGGGTATGACTTACGAATTACGTTACCACCAGCTGGACCGTGTCCAATGTGTGGCTGCTTTGATCAAATTATCCCATGGCGATCTGGTTCGAGTGGTGGTGACGATATGGGCTATCTGGTAAGCAAGAGGAAAAGCTATACACGAGAATATCTTTCAGAGCCGGCTATCAACACACAGCTTTGTTAACAACTATGTGACTGATCTTCTAGTGTCTAAGCCGTCTCAAGTGGTGAAGGTGTCGATCCAAACCAGGCGACCTAAGTGGTTACCGCCTCCAGCGAGTTGTATGAAGGTTAATGTTGATGCAGCAATCTCCAAGAACTTGGGTCGAGCGTCTGTGGGAGCTGTTGCTCGTGATCAGGCGGGGAAGTTTTTGGGAGCTTCAGGTGTGGTTCTTGAAGGTATTACTGATGTTGAAACAGCCGAGGCGACTGCATGTAGGGAAGGTTTAGCGCTAACATGTGATCTAACGCTCCAATCCATCCGGTTAGTTTCAGACAGCGCTAATGTCATACGGAGTCTTGAAGAAACGGTAATGGGTCTGTATGCCCAAGTTGTGAAGGAAGTGAAGGCTCAGGCTCGTGATTTTTTTTTTTGTTGTTGATTTTGCTCATGAGAATAGGAGCTCAAATTTTGATGCTCACAACCTAGCTAGGAGTTTAATCTCTTTTGTAATGGGCAGGCATGTCTAGCTGCTTGTCCCGCCTGAGGGCGTCTGTAACTCGTATGACCAACTCAATGAATAAAGAGTGTGGTGTTCCTAAAAACCCAACTAGACCGTGTCACGAATGGGTCTATGATCCAATGCTAGGGCTGTCCACGCATTCAAGATGCGAGGAGGCCCACCCGTGGTCTCCTTCCTTCCCAAGGCGGCAAGTGTTCTCCTTCCTCCTTCCACCATGAGGTGATGCAAGGCTCCTCACCCATTTGTGTCGGTCACGCAGTGAGAATGTGAGATCAGCCATGGTCAAGCCAGCATCTTGATTTTATTTCTCTTTTCGATAATGCTCCTATCAGGACGCCCGCCCGTGACTTTGCGCCCGGACGCGGTTCCCTAGGATCGGGCCCCAAACCAAACAAAATAAAATACCCATTTTGACGGATGTCTCCCACCGCTCACTCCCACACGCGCCGCTCGCCCTCGCTTCCTCCTCCATATTCTTCTGCGCTCGCGCCCCCCCCCTGCAGCGTGCGTGGCCATGGCTGCCCTTCAGGCGGCGGGCGCCCTCACCCACCAGCGCGCACGCCCCCCACCTCGCCCTCCTCCCCCCCCGGCAGGCGCCCCTCCCCCCCCCCGTCCTCACCCCCATCGAGGCGCCGCCCGGCACATGGATCCGTGGCCCTCTCCCCCACCCTAGCGAGATCCATGGAGCACGAGCGAGATCATGGAGGTGGCGTGGCGGTGTTGCAGGGGAGTGGGCAGCTCTCCCCTGCCCCGGCGCGACGCCCTCCCCACCCCGGTGGCGCCCTCTCTCACTCTGGTGACCGAGCTCCCCCCACCCCGGTAACCAGAATCGATCGGCCCAACCTTCCCTCCTCTATGTTACATATGTCGGTTTCAAGTGTTTCAGATGTATGTTGCGTTTGTTTCATATGAATGTTGCAAAAGTAGATCGGGAGATATTGCATATGTTGCAATTGTTTCAAAGGCATGTTGCAAACGTATGTTTTGAGTGTTTTATATGTTTCAGATGTATGTTTCATCTGTGTTTTCCAAATGCATGTTGCAAGTGTGTTTAGCTGGATGTTGCATGTGTTTTTATTTGGATGTTGTGTATGGTTACAATGGGTTTCGAGTGTTTTCAGGTGTTTTTTTCAAGTGTTTCAGAAGCATCTTTCAAGTGTTTCAACTATCTTCAGACGTATTTTGCAACTGTTGTATTTGGATGTTTGAAAAGTAAATCGGGTGTTGCATCTCTCCTCCCCACCTTTTGCTGCATCGTCTATCTCGACGTCGGCAGAGCATCCTTATGACGCCGTGGTCGGGTCCTTCCGAATCGGAGGTGCCTCACGCCCTTCCCCTCTTGTCGCTTGGGTCCCATGAGCAAGTTTTAGTATGACATGCGAAATGCAAGTATTAACTACCCTCCCATTCGATTTAGGCCTGTTTGGATCCTTGGAACTGAATTTATTTTAATAATCATAATTTAGTCACATATTAATTAAAATAATATGGTTGTATATGGATTATATTTGTATATTATTGTTGGCTATACGAGAGAGATACTTATGTATTGAATTTTTACCGTAGGGGAGCGAGTTGAAGAACGTGCTATAAGTTGCAAAATAGAAATATAGAATCGTGATGTATAGTATCAATTTCTATCTTTCATCCTATGAATTTGAGATAGTCTTATATGTGAATTTTGGAAAGTGGTGAAATGTCAAATTCTAAGCTAAATAGGCTAATTTATTAAGTAGAGTTTAATTCCTTTAAATGAAATGATCCAAATGGCCCCTTAGATCAATCCAGTAGAATGATATGTTATCATTTTGGAATAGCAAGTTTACACAAGTTACCCTGTTCTCTGAAACTAGGAAGCCTTCCCCGGGCGTGCTGTCGGGCCAGCCCCTCCGGCTAAATCTTCACTTGCATCATCTGCTGGAGCGGCACCTCTACTTTCATGCTGGTGTTTCATTGGTTGCATTGCATCTCCGGCTGCCGGGGGTCCTCGGGTGACTCATAAGCTAGCTCTAAGTAATTTTTTATATTTTAATATAAGAGAGAGAAAAGCTAGCTCTTAATCGAGAGCTAAGTTCATACATATTTCAAGTATTATGAGCCATTATTAGCTAACACTATTGGAGAGGTAGGTTTAAAGCTGTAACTAACTTTTACTGTTGCGAGTGCCCCGAAGGCAGAGGCGGAACCGTGACTTTTAATTAAGGAGTGTCGGGCAATATAACACCTTATAAATGTGATAAATATATACATCATGTGTATATTTCAATGCTTTTACATATATATTTAGTATTTATACGAAAAGTCATAATATTATCATAAAAAATATGTGAAATGATAATTTTTGTGATTTAAAATTAAAATATTTATAAGGCATTAAAACTTTTTTTACCGTGTTAGGGGTGGCCTAGTTGTGCCGGTGCCTGAAGGAGGCCTTGCGACTGCATATACATGTGCTGCTGCTTCTGTTGCTGCATGGATGGGTGTGAGCATATTTATTATATGGTCTATTCGCTTGAACTTATCAGCTGATTTTTTCAGCTAGAATCTATAGTATTTTTCTCTCACTTAAAACAGCTTCAACCGGCTTTAATACCAGCCGAACAGGCCCTACTTCCTTCGTTTATAAATTATAAATCATTTTGACTTTTTTTTACATCCAATTTGCCATATAGATATCTATATGAAAATTGGATGCAGTTTAAAAAAATGTCTGTCTAACACGCAGCGCACACTGACAATGTGGGCCATGCGCTAGACCAACCGTACCGCGACGCACTTGTCATCAAGGAACGAAAAGTTCCTTTAAAAAAAAAGGGGGAAAAGTTGGCATTTGTATCCGTTGGCAACCCGAGGATGGTGCGAATCTCGGCTTCCATCCGACGGCCGCCAGCGCTAATCAGAGAGATCCGATTAAAAACAGGCGGCTCGATTGGTTTCCCACTTTGGCACTTTCCCTCCACAACACACGGTGAGCCGGTGAGGTTTTCGATTTCGCATTCCGCGCCCCGCTCGGCCCCGCCCCTTCTGTTTTGTTCGCCGGCCGCAACCATTTCCGCGGAATCCCACCACCGCCCCCGTCCACTCCTCCCCAGCCGCCGCATTAGCAACCAGCTGCGTCGGCCACAGGTCGGGGCTCTCTCTCTCTGCTTTCACCCCTGCTTTTCCGCATCCCCGCGGCGACGACGAAGACGACGACTGGGCGAGCAGCGCGGCGCCGCCGCTCTACGCCGGGCGCCCAGGCCTTCGACGGGACCTTCTCCGGCGACGAGCGCCCCACCAGGTATGCCCACCCCTTCTGTTCCCTTTCTGCTGCGCGAAACCGAGCACCCAAACCCTAGCGTATGCAGTATGCTGTTTGGCTATTTGCATTCGGATCTCATCGGATTACTGAATTTACGAGTGTATCACGCCTACCGCCTTTTTTTTTTGCAAAAATTATCGGGCGTGCATGCGTGTGAATCAGGTCCTAAGCTCTTATGAACGCCAATGCAAGCCAATAAGCCACCAAGGGTCAACTGGCTGCACCACGAAAACGCTGTCCAAGGCTACTCTAGCAGAGATGCCTTTCTGAGTTCAAGCTTTCTCTTCTCCTTGCCGACACAGAGGCCCAGCCCTGAAGCTACTGAGAGCATGCTTTCGTTAAGGTATGCCTCTGATTTGTGGAAACCAACTTGGCTGCGGCATTTACCGAGACGGCATGAATCCCTCAAACGTTTTTATCTTGCAGGTCTTCCGCTTGTAAAATTCAAGGCCCAGAGCGTCTTCAAGCTCCTTTGATCGAGAAGGTATGACTGCGATGCTGTGATGTGCTATGATGCTATGATGAATATTTGGTGATGCTTAGTTAGCCAGATATCTTCAAAACCATATGTTTCCTCCATGATAATAAATGCATCTGGTGGTTGGGAATCTCAACTCCTAAGAACAGATCAGGATTTGTGGAAAAACTTGAGTTCAACAATGCAACATGTTAAGTAAAAACTTCAACTAGTTACAATACAGACTAGTTGAAGGTACTCTTACCTTCATTTAGTTGTGTCAAAACTTCTACTGGTTACACCCTAACTGAAAAATTCAACCCCTACCTTCTCTTTTACCTACAGATATTAATCCTCTGTCCAAAGATCATTAACCTAATTGGATCTGTTTGCAATGCTCCACACACTTTATTTACTTCTACAATTATTTCTCATCATAGGCCTGGCGTTCCCTATGCAACAGTCAGGTTGCCCGCAAGAGCTATTTAAGACCTGGTTTATCTGCAAAAGTGAAAGACTGTGACAGAGGTCATGCTCGTACTTATGGAGAAGGCTCATACAACACCAACAAAATGGCTACTGTGCCAGGAAACAGGATTTCCTCCGTGGAAAGCACAAGCCAACCCAGTGAAAGAGTTTCTCTGCAGAACAACAGCTTCCATCAACCTGTTGGCATCAGCTCCTCTATGAGAAGTTTCCAGAGCAACCATGTGGCGCAGGAAGATATGAGAGCAACGAATCAATACAATTTTGCAAGAACCGATGCTGCAGTACACCAGTCTGCTCCGGTTGCTGATAACATGTGCACTTATGATAAATCTGATGCTATGGATGATGATATTCTAGCGGTTGGTGCTTTCATCTCCTGAACTTAATATTTCTTTAACTGCAACAAATGTTCCCAGGATTATATTAATCCATAAAACTACAAGGACATAATTGCATGGTGTTTTTTAACGTGTCCATGCTTTTTTTCCTGAACTGTCGAATTTATCTTTCAGAGTATTGACGTGGACCGAATAGTTATGGAACATTATCAAGCAACACCCAGAGGATCAGCATCTCATAACATGTCAACTCCACAAGGAAACAAGTGTAGCTTCAATGGCATGGATGAGGCTAATTTACCACGAGAACTATCTGAATTATGTAGGCATCAATGCAAGGTAGGCTAAGTACTTAGTATTAAGTTACCATATTTGTTCTATACTGAGGGGCTATTTCAGCATGTCATCCCATTATCTACTACTTTCTGCAGCTAGCTTTTTGCAGAGAGGCAATGACCCATTTGCAGGAGATGAAGGATGAGCTGCTTGAAGTAGCCAATGAGCTTCTTGATGATGATGGTGAACTCCATCCTCAGCATTCACAAGAGCTTCATAAAAGACGGTTCAATTCTTTGTCCTACTTATCAATATTACTTGTTACTTCTGAGTAGGCACCTCTGCTTTGTCACAGTAATGCTGATATGTGCTACTGTTATACCTTGCAGATTGCATCTTAAGAAACTGGTTCAGCTACTCGAGGACCATATGAAAAGGTCAGCCCAAGATGAGGAGAGACAAATATCACACTCTATGGCATCCACAACAGCTACACAGCAGCATCTGCCACCTATGACCCCAGGAAGCACTTTTATAACGGATAGCAATAGATTCCAATCTCAGGTTTACATTGGAAATGGACCTAGGGATAGTGATTTATGCTATTCTTCTGCCCCATATTCCTGTTCAGATAATCTAACCACACCATTAAATTCTGTATGGAAAAGCTATACCCCAAAGGTTATCGATATTAACTACACTGAAGGATCTGGTGATAGAAAGTGGAGTAGTACAAATTTTCCATGGACTAAGGAACTTGAGGTAATTTTCTTCAGTATCATTTTTTAATTATTTACACCATCACTGATTTGTGAATACTATTTAACTTTTAGTGCATATTCAGGCCAAGAACAGAAATAAGTTTGGAAACCGTTCTTTCCGCCCCAACCAGCGAGAAATAATCAATGCCACAATGAGTGGGTATGATGTTTTTGTTTTGATGCCAACTGGTGGTGGGAAAAGTTTGACATATCAGGTAACAACTTACAAAATATATTTTTATCTGTCGTTGTTCTTTTTAAATGTTTGGACATTCAACTTCCTGTCCTGTGTCTTTTGACCATTGTTTTGTTTCTGTTGGCACTCTTTCCTCTTTCTAAATGCTGACGTATATACACCACTTCATGTTACATTTATTCCTTTGACATACACGGAATTGTGCATCTGCTATCAGCATTGATGCTCATCTATAAATTTGCAGCTTCCAGCACTTATTAGTGCGGGCTTAACGTTAGTAGTTTGCCCTCTTGTCTCACTCATCCAAGACCAGATCATGCACTTGTCACAGGTAATGAACCATTTCATCTCCTTGTACATATTTCTCGGCGTATTTTTTTCTTTCTGATTGACTACCTTTTGGCTGGAGCAGGCAAATATTCCTGCAACTTATTTGAGTGGCAACTTGGACTGGTCTGAACAGCAAGAGATAATGAGAGATTTAAAGTCATGCCACTACAAGTTGCTGTACGTCACTCCAGAGAAAATAGCTAGGTAAGTGGAATGGCGCCCATTGTGAGTTACACGTATGAAGCAGCTGTATTCAGATTAAGTCACATCATCTCATGACTATTGTCTAAAGCTATCCTGCAATACAATATACTTGCAACCATTAGATTCATACACTGTTGTTTCTGAGTACTGTAAGTTATCCAGCAATAATGTTTTCCAGATCAAAACTACTTGTCATGATTCTATTTTACTGACACGCTGCAGTTAGTCTCCGGGATGTGTTTGCTTTCTACTATTTGATCATTTACACACTTGTTTTTTTGAAAAATATCATTTACATGTGTTCTCTCAGTGTTTCTGTTTTTGAAAACTTGCTGGCAATTTTATCGAGTACAGGGTTTGCCACCCTGTTGAGACTGTTGGAAAATGTATATTCATGAAGGCATTTTTCTATATGAATATTTGTTTAGGGTAAAAATACCATCATGTGTGTTGTATGAATATATTAATGTAACCAGTTAGCATTGTTTTGAGTACAGGAGTGGTGCTTTATCGAAACTATTGGGGGATTTAAATTCACAAGGGCACCTTTCTAGAATTGTTATTGATGAAGCTCATTGTGTAAGCCAGTGGGGTCATGACTTCCGACCTGATTACAAGGTATTTCTATTTGATGAGACGTTCATGGTTAAATTAGATGACTTCTTGATGTAGCTTTTACTATCTGTCAGGGCTTAGGTGTTCTAAAACAAAACTTCCCCAAGACACCAGTCCTGGCCTTGACTGCAACAGCAACTGCTAGGGTTAAGGAAGATGTTGTGCAAGCTTTAGCCCTTGAAAACTGCATTGTTTTCAAACAAAGTTTTAATCGTCCAAATCTGAGGTGTGTGCCTGTAAGCAGTAAGGTATTGATGCAAGTTCTATTGTAGCAGACCATCTCAGATTTAAGTTGGGCTTTGCAGGTACTACTTAAGACCCAAGACAAAGAAATGCGTTGAGGACATTGATATGTTTATCTGCAAAAATCATTCTAAAGAATGTGGCATTATATATTGCCTTTCAAGAATGGATTGTGAAAAAGTGGCAGAAAAACTAAGGGTTATTTCTCGAAACTATAAGCTGTTCATTGTTCGTATGGATATTTAAGTTCTATTGTAGCAGATTGAATTCTTGATTATTTACCTATCCAGTGGATACATGTTTTTGCTTATATTCCTTGATATTGCTTCATATTTACCTGGGTATAGATTGGAAACTCTATTTTTAGTCAGTCACCTTCTTATGCTTGTCCTGACTTTTCCAAAAGAAGTGTTCAAGGCTGTACATGTTTGTTTTTGTCAATCTTGTCCCATCATTGTTGAGGGTTTGCGCTCGTTGGCTGTAGTTTCTATGTGGTATTACAAGTAATATATGTTGGTGTGGTGGGCCTATGCCTTAGTCAATCCCTAGCTAATTCAAAAACCACTATAGATGCATTGACCATTAGCTATATACTCGTGTTTTGTCAATCTCCCCTTGGTGTTGCCAAAGGTAGAAAATTGATACCAAACTTGAGCAAGTGAGCTAGGTATAGTGGGTTTCATTAGCTGGTGGTTCAGTATATTTGTCTTAGATTTGCTACCAGTGTCATCTATGTAAGCATGTATTATGTGCTTGTGGCTTTTCATATGGTTAACTTGATGTACTTATTTTGTCTAACATTGATTACTGGTTGGCGTGGCACATTTTGAACAGTGAACTAAATTTAATCATCCAATGAAAATTTGGCCTACCCTAGTACTAATATTTGTTATGTTGTCATGTAGATCTTGACCTTTCCGCCGGCTATAACTTCTAACTATTTCCATTTTCCCCCCCTTTGCCAGGAATGTGGGCACAAAGTATCACACTACCATGGTAGCATGGATCCTGTGGATAGAACACGTATACAGGAGCTTTGGAGCAAGGATAAGATCAACATAATCTGTGCTACAGTTGCATTTGGAATGGGTAACTTAATCTTTCAAACGCCTTTGTATAGAACATTTATTTTTCGGTGTTCCATTCTAATAGGACAAATTGTAGGTATCAATAAACCTGATGTTCGTTTTGTTATTCATCATTCACTGCCCAAGTCAATTGAAGGATATCATCAGGTATATCTCATAACTGAAGTTTCATGACATTAGCACAATGGAACTGTAAAGCAGAAGCTATTTGGTGATTGATCCATTCTCATAGGAGTGTGGACGTGCGGGTAGAGATGGGCAACCTTCATCTTGTTTGCTATATTACCAGTATTCTGACTATGTAAGTCTACTGGTACCTTAATACCTTGTTGGCTGCTTCTTACTATCTTTGTACTGTATCACAAACAAGTAATTTTCTTAATAAAATGTTCAGATTCGGGTCCGACATATGATTACACAAGGAGTTGCGGAGCAAACAGGAGCACCACGTGATGAGCAAGCACTGAAGACACATAAGGACAATCTCCTGAGGATGGTATCTAAAATTCTATATGCGCGCATTTGTTTGTTACTACGAAGTGTGGAAATCATGAAAAAAATGCTGTATCTTATATTTCTGCAGGTCAGTTACTGTGAAAATGATGTGGACTGCAGACGTCTACTTCAACTGATCCACTTTGGAGAGAGGTTTGACCCTTCGCTTTGTGCAAAAACCTGTGATAATTGCTTGAAAGTGTCAGGATGGGTCGAAAAAGATGTTACCAACATTGCCAGGCAATTGGTAAGTGGACAGATGTGCCCCATCCAAATGCATTCAGACATCTCTCTCTATGTGAACCTAAACTCTTGTTTTGTTGCTTCTTTAGGTTGAGCTAGTCACAAGGACAGGGCACTCACATTCATCTACTTACATTCTTGAAGTTTACAGAGGGTCTGTGAGCCAAAACGTACGTGCTCAGATACCTAATCAAGATCATGTTCTTATCTTTTTAGTGTAGGATCTTGCACCCACCGGGGGACAACTGTCCCTGCCACACTAACTAATATGCTAATGGTAACACAACTCATTACCCATAGGTCAAGAAGCAGCGTCATGATGCTTTAGCTCTTCATGGAGCTGGGAAGCATCTAGCTAAAGGTGAGGCAGCAAGGATAATGCGACATTTAGTAACTGAGGAAATACTTATTGAGGATGTGAAAAAGAGCGATATGTACGGATCGATATCATCTGTCCTCAAGGTGAAAAATACTTGATGTGCCTTGGTTTATTTCAAGACTAAATGCTTGTATTTATTTTTTTGTTTCCAATCTTGGTAGCATTGTAGCAGGCATAGGTCTAACATGATCTTGGTTAAGCAGGTTAATCATTTGAAAGCTAGCGATCTTTGCTCTGGCAAACACAGCATCATCCTGAAGTTAGTTTTCTACCTTTTACAACCACCAAACTTATCACATGATTTGAATGCAATATTATCTAAGTCACATATGAACTTGTTTTTCTCTCAAGTTGGACACATCTTGATTTTTAAGAATGCTACCTTTTAAAAAAAAATGAAAACCAGGAAATATTCCTTTGATCATATATATTAATATGCATGCATGTAAAAGAGTGATTTGTCACTGTAAGCTTACTTTTACCTTCACATCTGAATCTTTGTAAGGTCTACTGTTGGCAAATTGTATGTCAAGCAGTATGATGAAGGTTTATTTTGTTACTATATTTAAGACATACTGCTTAAAACTGGTAGGAGCATTTCACAACTGGGGGGAAAAATCCTACTTTGTCCTTTTTTGAAATCCTGACTGGTTTAGGTTATCTGAGACCAGCTAGCTATTGGTTGGTTACTGGTTTGTTACATTGGCCCTGGATCAGTGATTTATAGTTCTGTGACCTGACTGGTTACTGTTTATAAATTGCTAGGAGCAATGTTTTTAAGGCGTCGCTTTGGCGTCGCCTAATCGGCAAGGCGCTACAGGCGGGATGACTTGGCGGACGACTCGCCTCAGATTGGTATGGCGTCCGCCTTACTACCATGGCGTCTGGAAGTCGTCGATTTGGCGTCCGATTCGTCGAAATCGAGCAAGGCGGGCGCCATACGGGGATGGCCACGGTAGGAAAAGCGCGCGGCGCGAGAAAAGGACGGGAAAGTGCAAAGCGCTGAGCAGCATGTGGAGATTAGGCGCGCGGGGAGAGAGGAGCGCAGGAGAAATCAGAGAGCAGAGAGAGGAGCGTTCGCAGGGAAGACGGACCTACCTGCTCCATGCATGTGCCGCTGTCGCGCCCGCCCCGCCGATAGAAAGCTGCTTTGCCGAGGCCGCCTCCCCTCCCCTGTTCCCCATCCGCGCGAGGAGCAGCCGCCGGCGGGCTGCTGTTTCCCCGTCGCCTCTTCTGGTCCTCCATTGAGCAGGACACGAGCCGCTTCGCCTCTCCCTTCCCTCTTCCCCACCCGCGCGAGGAGCAGCCGCCGGCGGACTGCTGTTTCCCCACCTTGTCGCCTTATGCACATGCTGATGCCCCCTCGATTCCGCCGTCTCCTCATCGATTCTGATGCGGGTCCTCTCTATTCCGCCGTCTCCTCGTCGATTCCACTCAATTGCGCCTGTCGTGCTCGATCTGGAAGGGGATGGCGGCGACTTTAGATCTGGAAGGGGAGCAGCGAGGGAGGGGAGCAGAGCAGCGCATCCGGAGAGAGGGGAGGAGCCACGGACGGAAGTGGAGCCGCAGAGGGAAGTGGAGCGGCGGAGAGACGAGCGGAGGCGGACGGGTGGTGGAGAACGAGGAGCAACGCTGGAGGGGATTCCCATTGGGATAAGCCACGCCAGGAGGGGGAGGGGCACATGGGCCGCCTGGTGGGCTGGGCCAGCCCACTTCTTACTCCTCTCTTTTTCTTTTTTCCTTTTCTTTTTTCTTCATCATCTACTACTCTAAGCTGTTGTTTTAAGTTTTTCTTAAATCCGTAAGGCGTCGCCTCGCCTCACGCCTTAGTCGCCTAAGCGTAAGGCGGTAGTCACTCGCCACGCCTCGCCTTACCGCCTTAAAAACATTGGCTAGGAGTCGGTAGTAGCATCTCTGGGTTATTAGGGCTGACCTGTAAGGACAATGTTTCATGTTTTCTTAACCTATCTGTTCTGGTTGAGTTTGCACAACAGGGTTAATTCATTTGGTTTGCAAATAATACTTAACATTGATCTTGTTGCTGCAGAAACTAATATATAGTGTCAATTGATATTTGGTTGAATTGAATCATAATGTGGAAACATTATTTTTATAAATCAGGATGTGACATAATGGAGTGTGTTGTTCATACTCCATGAAATCCTGATACATTTGAGTTTGATTCTACTTATGCACATTCTTTGCTGCATTAGTATTCTCTATCTCCCTGTGTTGGCATTTTCAATTTGAGTTTTGAGTTGGTGTGACCTGAATTTCAATCTTTCATATTCTATTAATACCTTTTTATATATTTTTTTTCTTGAAACCAACATATCCCAAGAATGTTTGAACAACAAACATCTGGTAGTTCTCTAAAAAATGTTATTTTGCAGGTTTCCTGCTCCTGACAAGGCCTCCAAGATGGGGAATCTTGATGCCTCAATATTTCCGCAAATCAATAAGATTGTTCAGGAGCAAAGTGAAGTTGATGAGGTAAAGACCTGAACGTCTAGATTAGAGCAGATCTGTGGTGTTGGGTCTTTATATGTTCTTTCTCTGTTGTAATATCTATTTACTCATTCTTGCAGAATCTTGCATCGATGCTCTACGAAGCTTTACTTAGCCTTAGACAACAGATAATGGAGGAGTGTAGTGAAGGATACCATGCGTACCACATATTCAAGTAAGTTGTTTGTTGCACCTTCATTTGTGGAAGCATTCACTGGCTCCTGATACGGTTGAGCTTTCCATCTTCAGAACTGACACGTTGAAGGAGATGAGCATCCGAGTACCAAGAACAGAAGAAGAGCTTTTGGATATAAACGGCATCGGCAAGTAATGCATCTACTCAGCAATTTTGAATTGTTTACGCCACCATCTTTTGTTTTCGAAAAATAATCTTTACCATTTGAGATGCAACGGCAACTAACATGTTTTCTTCCAGGACAAAGGTCAAGAAGTACGGGGACCGCGTGCTTGCAACCATCGAGGACTTCCTCAGCAAACACCCAAATCCAAGGAGAAACAGCAGCGGCAGCGGCGGCAAAGAGCACTCCGAGGCGGCAAAGAAGCGAAGGGGCTCCACCGCCAGCTCTGCAGCGAGTTGCGGCGACGATGACTTTGAGGAACCCACGGGCCAGTCCAAGAAGCGCGCGGCCAAGGCGCGAACTGTCTCTGACGCCGCGAGCATGGTCCACGGCGCCCGCTGTATCGACGCCGATCTGGATGGGCCTGAGGTGGTGGATGTGGACGAGCTGTGCAGCGTCCGGAAGCCCGTGGCGTCTGGCAGGGTTCTGCCCAAGTGGGCACCCGCCAAAGCCAAATCCAAGAGTAGCAGCGTTCCTCCCTCTAACTTATTCCATGAATTTGGATACGCCAGGTAGAGTACACTGTACCAGTAGGGAATAGGAATGTAGGCTTGCACGTATGTGGTCGTCTAGGATAGGTCGTCGAGCACATGCAGCGATGCAGTGGTGTAAACGGTTTTCTGTGATGCAGTTGTACAATGGGACTGTTGCGTCAAGGACATACGAGAGCGGGAGCAAGAGTTCCATCGCTTGCTTCTGTGGACAGCATCGCGATAGTCGCAGTATCGGCCACCTGTTGTCCGTAACATCTTCGATGCAGGTACGGCGTGGCCGTTATCTTTTGCGCACGCACTAAACATTTGCCGCGTGGACCAAGCAACTGTTCAGTGTCTGACGCAAAACTTGAATTAACATCATCGTCACCATCCGATGGCTAATGTAGTGATGTATGTATGCTGATGTTGGACTGTGATATGACCTTTAAACTTTTCTCTTGCATCCAGTTGTCCTAGGTTGTTTGTATAGGTCTAGCAAGTTTTAACTATCTTCTTTCCTTATCGGTAAAAGGTCTGCGTTTCCACCATTTCGGAAGACCTGCATTAGTATGCCTCAGGAGTGGAATATATTAGCACAGATGATGTGTCTGGATGATGCAGAACACAATACAATAGGAATTTTGGAGGAAGAGATGCATTGTACTTCTTAAAACATGAGGTTAACTGTGCTCATAAGCATCACAGCACAATGTTCAATCTGATTCTCTTTTCTGAAACTTTTCAAAGACAATGTGGATCTTCACGTTTGCAGGAGGGGGAAAAAGAACAGCAAGATTACATGACCATGAGAAATCCGATGTAGTGAGTCAGAATCTGTAGGAAAATGGTCCCAAGACTATCTTGCGAGCAACAATCAGGCCTGATGTGGATACATCGATGTTCAGCCTTGTTAGGGATTACTACATACACAATGATTCTCTCCAAAAACTATCAGGTGTTTGAGAGCCACACCGCAGTCACGCCGCCTATTCTGTTTCCCAGGACACCAATGGATGATACATTTCAACAGGTTTCATTTTAATCTGCACACAACTGATGAGCATGATCTCAGCTTTGCAGATGCTACGAGAAGTCAGAGCCTTTTGATGCCCACCATTTGTTGCTGCGGGAGCGGACCCGCTGAAACCATCTGTCCCAAGAAGAGTTCTCGGGACCACTGGTACTGTAAAGATGGAGACCACTGGCACTGTAAGGATTTTGCAGGGTATGGTAGATGAAAATAGGAAGAGGTGTAGCGGAGGATCGGCACTTACATAGGAAGAAGTGGGTCAGGTTTCCCTTCTGTACTCGTGATCACTCTGTTTTGTTCACAAGGACAGCATATATCAACAACGAGAAGAAACAGCACATGATGATGTGGAAAACACAATGCTACACTCAAATCTGCTTACTCCTGGCATGCCGCGGATGCAGATTCCATGGTTTCAAGCTCATCCAGTTCTTCCTGTAAGAGTATACACAGAGAGTTGATATTGTATTACCATGCTATCTATTGAAGCTGGCAGAACTTTGCCTTAACAAAAAGAAAAAAGAGGTAGAACTTTGGCCCCAAATACGAATGAGTTGTTGGTCCAGAGCAGTCATACAAATAGATCATTCCACAGGCACTCTGTAGGATTTAGGTACTAGTTACAAGTTCTGATTTCCACTCTATCCTACATTCTGAAGGATACAGCCATACAGGTTATAGCCTAACCTCCCAAACGAACCTGTCTGTAGACACAGGGTTTTGGACATACACAGAACAGAAGAGCAAGCTCTGTGACTATGAATCCTTTTTAAAATATTTTCAATGGATATTATGAATTCAAGTTTTTTGATTTTTGTGAAAGACTGAAAGGGCAACACAAACAAAAGTCAAATCACTGCAATTCTGTGTACTCCCATCTGTATCAAGTCACAAAAATATTCAATGTACCCACTGCAGAGAGCTCCCGCTCTGTGCGGGGTCTGGGGAAGGGTGTCGGTGGCAAGCCTTACCCTCGCCTGTGCAATGTGAGGAGACCGCGACTTGAACCCAGGACCTTCCGGTCACAGGCGGTAAGACTCTACCGCTTGCACCAGGCCCACCCTTCTCACAGAAATATTCAATGTAATTATGCAATTTTCGCTAAGAAATACAAGTACCAAAAAAGCACAGGCCAGTCCTGTGAGATTTCAGTTTCAGCTCTAGTTCTACACTTAGGTAGTGTTTGGTTGGGATAAGGAAACGCCAACGCAAAGGGATTGGATAAACAGAACTAACGTAAACATGGTAAGCAATTACTTGATTTGTTTGGTTAGCTTCGGTAACGTTAACACAGAAGCTACTAGACAGCAAAGCAGAGTTGCTTTTTACATGCATCCTGTTGTTTCGTGCTTCCTTCATTCACACTCTATCCGATGACCGCGTGAGCGAATGACAAGGTGGAGCCGCATTGTCCAGGCTAGCAGAGACATCACTCGGTATCGGATAGCGTTGCCGTATTTGATAACGGCATGATCCGATCACACGAGGCCTAAAACAAACACCATGCAACGGGATCTATTATCCTCTGTAAACAAGTCACGTCACCATCATCTGAACGAAACACTATCTTAATACTAACGGGATGCTAAACCGATTGATATGGAAGTAATCATATGTAGTTCCCTAATGTTAATGTAAATGACACAAAATATAGTGTTCTAATAAAAAAAATGTACGATGCATAGTTGCGGACAAGAGAGCTAAGAAATCACAATCCATTCTTCTACTTTCCTCGTTTCACAAAAATATGCACTAGTTTTGTCAACAATCCATTAGTCTCTGGGGTCAGGGCGCCCTCTCTAGCCAAAATAAAGTTAACCCAACGTGTTGCAAAACTTCAAAAAAAAAAAAAAATCACGAAAACCATGTATGTATGTAGCACACATAAAGTTAAATAAACCTGCAAAAATTCAATCTCAAATTCATCTTTGATGTCGAGACTCATAAAAAAAACGTAAGTGTTACTATTTTTTAGAGCCTAAGGGATTAACCACAGTCTTAGAAAAGCTGAAAAGCATCAACGTTTACAGCATCTGAACAAGTGTAGCACCAAAAGACACCACTCTCAATTTGTCAACCAGAAAAAAGAGCCAGAAACACAGCTCTAAAACCGGCTTCAACGCACAACTCTCTAGACTCCAGAAAGACCCCAAGCCACCAGATTGATCCACTTCCCCAACTTGACCACCTCTTCAGCTTCTATTTGACTTCATGTGTACTATGAGCACATGATGAATAGTACCAGATTGACTGCTTGCCCCTTTTGATTCTGGACATCTACAGGATCATTGTAGCTATATTTAAATGTAATACGCACTACATGATTTCTTTGATGAATTTTTGAAACACTGGCACATGATATGGGGAACACAATTAGTCAGCACCAAGTATCGATCATTAATATTCCTTTTAAACACAAACACTCAGTTGATTAAAGAGGAACATTTTTTTTTTGAGATTAGTGTTCTACTCATCTTTTGCAAAGAAACTGTCTGTTCCTGGAACAGCACCAGATAAGCAGATACTCAAAAGAATCAGTTCATCATTTCTAGATGCCAACAAATCACAGAGCGGAATGAGAAGTCATAACCACTAGTTATAAGCTCCTGTAAAGTGTTACTAAAAAAATGACGCCTCACTAACAACTTCCAGATGATCCTAAACCCAGAAGAAACGGCTCGGTGTTTGGCCCTGTTCGCTTTGCTGAAAAGCCATGACTGAAAGTACTGTTCGCTGATTTGTTGTGAGAGAAAAACAATGTTCGTTCGCTGAAATAGTACGGCTCATAAGTCAAGCGAACAGGGCCATGTTTAGACAGAGTGACAGAGTAACAGGGGATAGGTGCAAATGGAGAGTAATAAAGCTGGTAATTTCTTTGAAATGTTTCCTTTTCCAATAGAGTTACTTTGGTGTAGTGAGGATCGATAAGAACATTTTTCCTCAAGATTGTCGATCATGCAAATCGAGCTATAAATGACCAATACACACCTATGCTGTAAAGGGCAATCTTATGGTATATCTTCACAATTAGCTTATCGCATACACATATATTGGTAATAAAGTGTTGGGCCTCCATTTCCATTTTTTTCACTCCAGCACTAGACATCAAGATATTCCCACTTTGCTTGCTTTCTTTCATGGAGGCAAAGCGCATAACTAGTCGTGCAGCAACACGCGATGCGCAGGGCACAGTTTGGGTACTGGATTCGATGCTTATAGAATCGTGCAGCTTGCTAGGCAGCAGGCAAGATCTGGATCGCGCACAGCTCCGGCAGCAGGTTGACTATACGGACGGAGGAGCTAGGAGTCGTCCGGGCAGGCCAAGGCCTGCCGCGATTGCTGTTGATCGAGCAAAGCTGAGAGAGGAGGGCGGGAAGGGGAGCAAGCTGTGCAGTTACCTGGAGGGACTGGAGCTCCTGGTCGAGGCGGGCGATGGCGGCGGAGAGGCGGTGCTTGCCGACGTAGCCGACGTTCCTGGTGAGCGGCGGCTGCGGGCGCGGCTGTTGCTGCTGCTGCTGCTGCGGGCCGGAGGAAGGCCTCTGGGCCTGGTTCCGCCTCTGCTGCGGCGGGCCCTGGCCCCGGTGGCGGCCTCCTCCTCCTCCTCCTCCTCTTCGTCCTCGTCGTCGTCCGCCTCGTGGTCGTCGCCCCGCGGCCGGCGGTCCTCCACTCCGTTGGCTTGCCCCCTCATCCCGCCGCCGTCCTCCGGAAGGCCGAAGGGGATTGTCCTCCGGGAGGGGGTTGTGGACGGCAAGTGGACGGACGGGAGGAACGATGGCTGGGTGGGTGGATCTGCGTGCGAGCGCGAGGAGTACTTGGCTGGATACGGAGGGACGGGAGTGGGTGCTGTCGTGCCGTGCTGGCAGTTACTGAGCCAACCAACCAAGCAAGCAGCCAGGGAAGGGAGGGGGGAAGCCGGAAGGGGAGGCTGGGAGCGGCGCGCGTGCGACGGTGATGGTGATGGCGACGGCGGCGGCGTACGGGTGGGGTGGGTGAGCGGGTCAATGGCTGGCTGCAACCAACTAGACAGAGAGGGGAGGGAGAGAGAAGGCGGCAGCCGGCACGCAGGCAGCGGCAGCGAAGGCAAGGTTGGAGGAGGAATCGATGGGAGGAAGACAAAGACAGCAGGCAGGCAGTCAAAGGCAGGCCGGGCTGCCTGCTCTGCTGGTGCTGGGAGGCGGGAGCCTGCCTGGGACTGGCCTGCTGCTGCCTTCACCTCACCGCACGCGGCGCAGCAGCTGCAGCAGGGGAGCCGCTGCTGGACGCCTGGACCAGCAGTCGAAGAGGGGATAGGAGGCGGAGGGGAAGCCAGGAAGGGACCGGTCAACGCTGTAAGGCAGTAGCGGTCAATCGATTGTCACGGTGACCACCATTTTGTCTTTTCTCCACGTAGATATATAGGTACCCTCGTTTTACCCGTGAAATCTCTAAAACTCAGGCCTGTTTAGTTTCAAAAAACTTTCAACTCAAAATATCACGTCGAATTTTCTATATAAATACCCTCGTTTTACCCGTGAAATCTGTAAATTACTCACTCGTAGATGATTTAATGTGCTGTTTATTAGTACCCAAAAATCCTCCCGACGCAGGTGAGTGGAAAAAAAAATTCACCACACCGGCTAAACACGGATGGATGATTTTGTGCTGTGACCCAGCAGGTGAGTGGAGGGACGGATGTGACGAGGATGGAGCAATGATATATGGCTCGAGCGTCCGTTGGCTCATCCTCGTCCACTTAGGCGTGGCGCTCGTGTTCCGGACCTCAATCGCATCCACTCGTCCACGCCGCTCGCGCCGCTGCTGTATCCCCGTTCACGGTCGCAGGATAGGATTTTGTTCGTATTGCTCGTCGTTGCGCCCTGTCCGTACTCGCGCCTCTCGTCGTGGTTGCGCTCCATCCACCTACCACAGTCACTGTCGAGGTCTGTGCCACCGACAAGCTCCGCATCGGTGACCTCCGCGCACTATGTGGTATCGAGCTCCACGCCGGTATCGAGCTCCACAACGACGAGCTCCATTCGTCCGAGCAGCAAGGTGACATTGCGCTTGCATTAAAAACGCATGTTGCAATGTTGCAAGGGTTTCGTATGGATGTTGCAAAAGTAGATCGGATGTTGCATATGTTGTACACGTATGTTGCAGATGTCTATTCCCAATGTTTTATCTGTTTTTCAGATATATGTTGCAAGTGTGTTTATCTGGACGTTGCATATGTTTACACATATGTTACAAGTGTTTTATTTAGATATTAAGTATGTGTTGCAATTGTTTTCAAGTGTTTTCCAAGTGTTTCAGACGTATGTTTTAAACGTTTTATATGTCTTCAGACGTATGTTGCAAGTGTTGTATCAAGATGTTTCAAAAGTAGATTAGGTGTTGCATCTCTATCCTCGCTTTTCTGCTGTCTCGCCTTGGTGTCTCCTCCTCGTCTTCTGCTGCCTTGCATCCTTCTCAGACTACGCAGAGGGGGCCCAGTGAGGGCCAGCGAAGGGGTGCGTCGCGGGCCGGTAGACGGACGCCGGGGGATTGCGGCTCAGACGCGAGCGGGCGTTGTCCCCTTCCGTTATGCGGGTAGGTAGCGCTTCGTCCCTTTTAGTTTTCTATTTTACGTGGGATGGTAAGATGACCAGCCCATGGTTCGGTTGGCTGGGGACTGGGAGATACGTCCGGACACACTGCAGACGTCGAACGTCCGGACGCTAGTGCCTCCGATGAAGCAAACACTCGCTGGCCCAGTGACCCGCTTATGATTAAATCAATATTACACTCATCATTTGTTCGCTTAAACTTATCGGCCGGCTTATCAGTTAGAATCTACAATCTACAGTATTTTTCTTCACAATAAAACAGTTTCAGCCAGCTTATCAGCCGGTTTACGTATCAGCCAAACAGTGGCAACCATACGTACCCTCATCCATCTTTGATCCCAATCTTCTACGACCTGGGGTGGAACCGCCATCCCTATTTATGATTCCGGGCTATGCAGAGTGTTCTGATTCAGATATGAGGTTTTATTGATATTGAAAAACATGTCGGTTTTAGACCAACCTCAACGGTGCTACCGATTCACTGGCCGATGTGGATGCCAAAGAATAAATAGAAGCAGGAAAGATTAGAGCATGGCAAGAAGAGACCTGGCCACATCTGTTGTAGGGAAATACAAGCTAAACTTTGCAGGCTCGCTAGCGAGATGATTTTTTCCCGCATCTCTCACCTTCACGTTGAGCAAAAAAATAATGTAAGCCGACGACGTAGCCACTTTCAGGCGTCCTTCAGAGAAGGGGTTAGGCTAGAGTGAGGTGAAAGATGATATCATGGCGTTGTATATTCGTTTTAGGACGATGAGAGTAGTTTCTAGGGATGGAAGGATAAGATCATAAGAGAGCGAGCATCACTCAATTATGGAGCTTGCCGGTAAACTTACCTGTTGTCTAAGTAACAATGAAAAATCAGCCACCTAACGTATAGAAGAAGTGCCTCGTCATAAAATGTGGACTCTTGGTAGTTTTTATTAACATGGTGCTATAGTTAGACGATGTAAGAGAACTATCCATTTGTTGTCTATTGAAGACACGTGGACAATTTTATTTATACAACGATCACATATTTTAATTTGAGGACGAATATTGCAAGAGCATTTACATATATCAAATTTCCAAATGATGCGTTCACAAAGGCTATACATCTCTACCTAATAGTACATCATCACAACTTGTATTTCAATCCCGGCCAGGCCACTAGGCAGGGCAGTCCATCTGGTCATCAGCCTTGTCCTGCCGCCGGGTCCCACTGCCCAGCTGCTGCGGTGTGTTGATGACTTCACATTGCGACGGAAAAACAGTATGTACATCGGAAATTCCTGCCTCACCTACTCCCTCCAAATAACCCAACACAATGCTGTGTGTGTATATTAATGTAGGGTTTCTATGCGTACAAAAGGAGAGAAGTCTGTGGTATGCAGTATTCACAATACACAGCAGGTAACCCGTACATGTATAATTCCTAGTGCACCTCACAGTTCAGTAGCTCACTGATGAGATCAGGTGTTCTTCTCCAGGACCGAGAGCGCCGGCGCCAGGTAGTTGTTGGCCTTGTCTGGCAGATGAGCCACCTGCAGCAGCAACAAGCTCACACAGGTCACACATTGGTTAACCAGATCAGCAAACCCATATCAGAAACCACACGACATCACACAGCATGGCATGAGCACATGAGACAGTAGGCTTACAAGTTCATATAGTTCACTCCCTTGCTCTGAAACATGCTCATAGCACACCTGAACAAACCAAATGATGCACGGCCTCCAGGTTAGTTGCTTGCTGCACCACCAACGAACTCACAAGAGAAATCACAGGGGAGACGACTAGAGGATCTTACATCGAAGCTCTTGTTCCTCGCGGTCGAATCGTGCAGCGCTTTGACGCAGATGTCTGCTACATCAGCGCAGCTGATGCCCTGCATCAACCACAAATCGGACGGTAGCGGTTATTAGCATGTACATCGATCGGCATGCCACTATCCAGATACTCTTACAATATAATAGCGTAGTAAACTTCATTCATGCTCAATCACCTGAGATATCCTGTTCCCTTGGTCGAAGATCAAGGCGCGCTGACCGCCAGGTTCTTCCTGGCATAGCAAAACGAATGCCACGTTACAATGCAGCATGGATTAAAGCAATTCACATACTGTTAGATCAGCTCTAGTAAAAGGACTCGGTGCTCGGTGCTCCTATCTTATGTTGTCGTACCTGCAGTGGACCTGGCCGTACAATTGTATATCCAAGGCCAGATCTCCTCAATGCATCCTCTCCAGCCTAGCAAAATTCATACAAAGCTGATTAATGTTGCATTAGGTGTGCATCAACAACAGTTTAGATGTTTATGTGCGGCAAGTACCTTCTTTGCCTTCAGGACTTGTTCTCTCCTGTTATCTTCAATTCCTGAGCCTGTGCACGAGACCAGTACAATGTCTGTTTCTTGACCACTCTGGAAAATAATCACAACAAACATAAGGAAATGAAATGAAAGTTTAAGGAACAATGATCATATCAACAGGTTGCACAAAGCAAATCCTTACCGGTAAGGCTTTTATGAACTCCATTTTGAGCTCAAAGTTTCTTTGGTCACTAGCTCCTTCAGATGATTCACCAGGTCTCTGCACAAGGATTTGGTTAGTAACTGGTAGGCCAACACTTCAGCAGAATTAGTATCTATTCATAATGGCGATTTGCTTGTACTGACCTGCTTCTTTGGTTCAAACCTAATGGTTAGTGTGTGGACAAGAAACGGGTCCAGTGGAGGATCCTGTGGGTTTACTGGCCGGAAAGATGAAAACGGCACTCTTACCTGCACAAACCAGACATTTCTTCATTTTTTTCTGGCCAATGAAGAACCAGATACAAAGGATATATCATCAAACATCATTTACTTACCCTGCAAAACCCAACTTTTGTGTTCATCCGGGCAAAATACTTCTTGCTCTGTGAGGTGTCAGCCAGTGGACCAGTCTCAAGAATGATAACATATGATCTTCCATTTCCACCCACCGAAAGAAGCAAGCCATCATACCTTCAGGTAGAATTAAGCAGAAGGATGCAGAGTATACAAGTTAAAATCTTATGAAATCATGCACATATAAATAAGCAGAAATTAAAACAAAATACAAAAGCTTATGATACCTGTCTAGGGTGGAACCTAGAGGAAGTGTAAGTCGTTTAGAGATTTCAACGTAGCCACCCCTTGTGAAAACAAAACCTGAGAATAGAAGATTTCTGTAAAGAATTAAACAAATCAAATGGCTCTGTAGTGTGTACATTTCTGAGAGTGATACCTGAGAAAACAGCCTGTCCACTTTCTGCAAATTCAAATGATGCATCAGTGCCACCCTCGAATCTAGAAGGGTAGACATCCTGAAAGTATGATCCCTGGCGCACCTCCCATCCTTTCACAGATTTGGCAGATTTGAATTTAGCAATCAACAGTTTGCTCTTGCTGCTCTTACCAGCCCTTGATTGGGCCAGCTGATTGTAGTAATCCTGCAAAAAATAGTTGATAGCTCAGTGTATATTTAGCATAGCAGCAACAGGATATCATAGACCATGGTACATCAATACCATGAAAGAATCAGATGAGGTTTAGGCCAGAGTACCTGGAAGGCCTTGATAACATTCCTCACTCCTTGATTATCAACCCTGTTGAGGTCTCCCGTGATAGTGGACCGCGCGGTTGCACAGTAAATTACCTTGTTGCAACCTGACACAGCAGCTTGAACTGAAGAAGGATCGCCGACATCTCCAACCACGATATCCACAGACCTTGGAAGCATGTCGATCACTTCTTGGTCATTTCTCCTAACTAATGCCTATTGTACGATAGCACAGGAACTGATCAAAACATGAAGATTTCACAAAAAACCAAGTAAAAGAAGATGAATGCCAATATGGACCCATTGCATCGGTTACAATGACCGCCATTGAAATTGTGTGTAACTGAAGATGACCCAATTGGGAGAAGAGAATAAAAGTACCTTGACGTTGTACCCGCGGAGCATGAGCTTGCGGACGACGACGCGGCCGATGCGGCTGGTGGCGCCGACGACGAGGACGGTGGTGTCCTGCGCGCCGGGCACGGTGAAGTCGCACATGGGTCCGCCGCGGAAGAGGACGGCGGGGTCCTGCTCCGCCACCACGGCGGAGGAGGCGCTGGACATCTGGCCGAGCCGCGAGAACTTGCGCCACACCTCGTCGAACACCTGCCGGGATCGGCGGCCCAGCCCCACCGGGTTCACGATCACGTCGTCCAGCGTCACCATACCCCTACCGCCGAGGCCGCCGTTCGGCGCCTCGGTGGCCCCACCGTTCTTGGCTTCCGCAGGCTCGTCGGGGGCGAGCAGCGCCGTGGAGCCGGACTTGGTCGCCTTCCTGGGCCGGCGGTTCCGGGACCTTCGGGGCTTCGCCGCCGCGGTCTCCTTGTCGAGCGTGGCGGACACCGTCGCCAGCCTTAGTGTTGGCACTGGCAGCGAAGCGGCATGAGTTGGCGTAGCGCCGCCCGCCGTCACTGCGGGGGAGGCCGAGGAATGCAGGGGAGGAGGACGCGCAGTGGGGCGCTGCCATGGCGGCCATTATCCACCGCGAGCTCGCTCTCGTGAGTCGAGAGACCAGCCGACCGGAGCGAGCAGGGAGCGTACGGCTCTGTACCAAGAGATTCTTGGCTGCTCGGCGCCGGCTTTATCAAGCGCCTGGAGGAGGTCAGGAAGAAGAATCTACGGAGCCCATCGATCCACCACCATTCCCGCCGGCTTGAACTGAAATGACGTGTGGAGTGGGAGGCGCTCGCGTGGCAGCTGCGACGGCTGGCAGCTCAGGTTGTGGCTGCCATTACTGCGAGGCCGTGTGGGGCTGGGGCTCTCGCGGCAGAGGCGGACACCAAACTCGACAGCGACGACGAAGCGGGCGCGCTCGTTTGACGAAGGCGAGCAGAAATTTTTGGAGGGGAAGAGTGGTGGTGCTGCCAGGAGACGTGGCCGCCTGTGTGCGTCGCGATGGGATGACGTGGCCTCACCGACGTCACTTCTCGTTTACGCCTTCAGTTCTCTTCTCAGTGACAGAAAAAATGTTCTTTTTTTATCTGGCTATGTGATATGCAAGACAATCCATTTTAATACTTCTTCCATCCCAAAAGAAATGCTGCTAAGTCAAATGATTTGAAGTTTGACTGAATTTCTATAAAACAACTTTAATATTTATCATACTAGATAAGTATCAATAGATTCGTCATAAAATGTATTTTTTAAAGTCATTTATGTCGATATTTTTTCTATAAACTTAGTCAATTTAAAGATAGTTTGACTTTGATTAAATCTAGAGTTTTATCTTTTTTGGGACCAAGGTACTACAAGTACAAGGAGTTAAACTATAAAAATGTCACGAGTTAAACCAGTTAAATAGTTAACCATGTACAAGCACAAGTATTGTTAGACTAGCGTAGGCCCCGTTCGCTTGGAGAAATTTGAATGAATCTAGATGGTTTTGGATGAATCTAGAGGAATTTATGAGAGAAAAACACTGTTCCGGATGAAGAAAGAAGCGGATCAAGTCGAGTTTAAGGGCACGCGAACGGGGCCATAGGGCTATCCATGGGCCTTGGAGCCCACGCCTGATGGCTGGGCTATCTCAGGGTATTATGGTAGTTGATCTCTCTGATTAGGCAAGGATCTCCGTAACCCTACACCGATCCTTACCTATATATACTGTACCCTCTTGTACACATTAAATCAATCTACTATTCCATGTGCCATATCTACTATCATGGTATCAGAGCCATTACCGACAATAATAGATGAAGGAGTAGAATAGCGTGGGAAAAGAACATGTGAAAGGGAAGCGGACTGAGAGGTCATGTGTGAAGTAGCACCGGAGTCGATGTACCACTCGTTGGCCAGAGGTGGAGTCAGCAATGCCATGCTGAAGGCAGAGGCGAGAGTCGATGGGTCCCAGGAAGGGAGACCGACAACAGGGTTGTAGAAGCCAGGTGTAGCCCACTGGTCGGTGCCATCAATGGCAGCAGCGGGCTGCTGCTGGACGACGAAGGCTTGTTGCTACTGCTGCTGGGCAAGAAGGGCCTGCTGCTGTGGATGCAGCAGTAGGGGCGCCAGCGGAGGACGAGCCCCCCCCGGCCACATCTAGATGGACCCCATCCACGGGTTGTAGACGGTGGGCCAATTCCTGGTGCCGGCGGCGGGCTCAATGGCGCCGGCTTGCCGCTGTGCACTGCTGGCTTGCTGCTGTGCACCAGCAGGAGGGCTTGGAGCCTGGCCTCCAGCGCTGCCATTGCCGCCACCGCCCTTGCCACCGTCGCCGCGCTTGCTGCGACGACTGTTGGACTTGGAACTGCTAGCGCTCCTAGAGCCCGTGCCAGGAGTAACATCTCTGGTGTTACGAGCTTGCTTAGCACCGCGATTTAGGCCTAAGAAAATTTCTGAAGCGAGTTTCTCGAAGTTTTTGATTTAAAACATACTTGAGGCGGTAAGTGAATCCTGTGTGACTCAGTTTAGTGGACTCACATAAATGTCCAGGTGAAATTATTAAGCACGTAGAGATATTTAGGAATGTCTATCAATAATTCTGGCAAATAAATAGCGAACGGTTTGTTCTATTAGATTTAATATGAAAAGCAACTTTTATAAATAAATTAAAATCCATTAATAAATAGAACGATATATATATATATATACATACTCAAGGGTTTATTTTGATAAGCACGCCCAGTTGAAAAGCTTTGGTCTATTGACATGTTTACGCTTACGTATAGACTTGTTTTAGTCCCTAGGATAAATTGGTAATGTACCCGCGACAGCTGCCGTCCTGACCGCTTGACGACGGTAGTGCATCCCCGTGCGGAATCAATCAACCGATTTAATCGCGTCGCACCACGCCATCGAGTCGATTGCTTGCTCCTTTTTTTCCCTGTCTGCTTCTATGTCGTGCCATGGCGCGTGGAGCATGTGCCGTCCCTGCCGCGGCCGTGCACTGCTTTGCTGGTTTTCCTTCCGTCCAACTGCAAGTTCCGTCGCTTCACCCTATGCCTCTTGGCATGCTCTCCTCTCTCTGCCTTGCTTGTCTCTGCTGCCGCGGTCTCATCCTTGCCTATCTCTGTTGTCTGCCTTGCGTTCAAGTTCAAGTGGAGATCGAGCCTTGCGTTGCTTTCCCCCTGCCATGCCGGGTCCCTTCACTCCCCTGTGCACGCATAGGTGCGCCGCTACCGGCCACAATGCGCCGTCCCATCCTGCCTCCACGCCGGTGCTCTGGCGTGTGTACGACGTGTACCCCCATGCTGCTTCCCGCTTCTTCCTTTTCTAATGCCGTGGAGGAGACGCCCCAGCTCCAGTCTGCCATTCGGTCGGCTGCTACTTGCTCTACCCTTCCAAGCGCCTCCTCCTGTTCCCCCGCGCGCCATCGTTCCCTCCTCTTCCTCCCTCGAGAGCGCATGTGTCGGTGTTTCGAACAAACACCGGCTAGTAAATTTATAATTGATGCGCGTTAGGCCTGGATGGTGCACTAAAGGACACGAGGTTTATACTGGTTCATGCTGAACGTCCCTACGTCCAGTCTGCTGCTGCTCGTGTTATTAGTACCAAAAATGGTTCATAGTAGGGGGTACAAACGGTCGAGAGAGGGACGAGTCCCAAGTCTCTGATGGATTGGTCAAAAGGTCGCCGAGAGCTTGGTTGCTGTTCAGCTGTGTGTGATGTGTGTTGTTCGATCTCTCTGTGAGCTTGTCCATCGAGAGTCGATCCCCTTAGTGGGGGCCCTGCCCTCCCTTTTATAGACCAAGAGGGGAGCAGGGATTATAGATGAGAGAAAAGAGAAAAACCCGAGGCCAAGAAGCCCCTCCGAAGGTGTTGGGCCCTCCTTTTTTGCTGAGCCAGCCTCGCTGACACGGCCAGACGGTGTCAGGGATTGGCACATTCGCCGGATGCCTATGTGCTGACGACGCCATGCCCTTACTAGGATCAGCAAGTGGTCACGTCCCGTCCTACCCCTCCGGGAGGTGGTCGGACAAGGGTGTTGCCCTGTTGCCCTATGGGGAGCGGACGGCGCGGTGACTATACGTTCGTCACTATAGAGGGCGTGGGTCTCTTGGACCGTAGTGGTTGTCATATGTCTATGTCAGGTTCCGTGGCGCCTACAACACTATTCGGACTCTGCCATGTCCGGAATGGTCTAAAGCGCCCATCCCGTCGTACCCTGGCGGTACTTTCCTGCTGTGGAGCAGGGCATGGTCCTTGGTGCTGCGTTTGACTCAAATGTCATGTTGTACCCTGTGCTCATCATTATGAAGGCGCAGGGTGTACTCATCGGGGGAGGCGGAGTTCGCCCTCGACCGTCGGGCAAGGCAGAGCCTGTCCTCGACCATCGAGCGAGGTGGAGCCAGCCCTCGGACATCGAACAAGGCAGAGCTGGCCCTCGGGGGTCGGGCGAGGCAAAGCCAGCCCTTGAGTGTTGGGCAAGGCGGAGCCAGCCCTCAGAGGTCGGGCGAGGCGGAACCAGTCTTCCGTCGTTCGGACAAGAAACACAGTAGTGTTCTCGTCTGATCGGAACTGTCAACGTTCGATGGTCATTAGTCCCACCTCATTAGGTACCTCGGTATTAGGTCCCCGACAGTAGCCCCCGAGCCCCCGGGTGTTTCGGGCAGAATCATCCGGGGGGGTGTTTCGGTTCGCCGGAGGGTGCGTGCGAGCGCACCCGACGGGTGTAGCCCCCAGGTGATTCGGGCAGAATCGCCCGGGGGGTGTTTCGGACCCTTCGTGGGTAAGGCTATGAGACTCGGTTTCTGTCTACTGGATAGCTTTATAGGGACCCTGGTATCCCATTCGCAGGGATTTCGTCCAGGGTCAGCCTAGCCGGGGCTCGACCGTGGATCGAGGCCCTACTGATGTTCGCGTACCTGGGTGTTAGTCGCCTGTGGGCCTGTCCCTTGTTGGGATGGCCATCGAGACTGTCGGGCCGACCCTTGGGCTTTCTTGGACCACATGGGCTGGAGAAGAGATTTTCTAGCTCGTATCCCCTCCGTGGGGAAAGATTACGATCTGCTCAGGAAGGTGAACCGTTCGGGGCGATTTTTGGTGGGAAAGGATAGGGATAGCGGGCGCGTATCCCGCGACATGATGTGGCGGCATGTCGTGGCGGGCTCGGAGATCGAGGCATACGGTTGCGCTTCTCGCATACGTCGCCCCTATAAAACCATGAGGTTTGCCCCTAGGGTTTCGTACTTCGCCTTTTCGCCTTCGCATCGCCAACCTCCACCGTGAATCGCCAGAGCCTCCCACACCAGTACTGTTGCCGCCGTCAAGCTTGCATCCGCATCGTAGTCACCGTCGAGCTTGCATCCACCCCCCTTTCCCATCGTTTTCAATGGAGCCGTGGTGCAGATCCAACATTACCTCTCAGCGCCTGGAGGGCCTCGTCCATCGTGGCCTCCTTCGCCCATTGTTCGCCTTCGCGGAGTGGCTGCTACCTGGTGACGAGGACAAGTCGTCGCCACCCGAGGGATATGTCATGTCCTTTGCTCTCTTCCATGAGCGGGGATTCGCCGTTCCTGCCCATAAGTTTCTTTGGGGGCTATTGGATTACTCCCAGGTGGAGTTGCAGCATCTTAATCCCAATGGGATCCAGCATATTGCGGCGTTCATCACCCTGTGCGAGGGGTTCCTAGGGATTAGTCCCCACTTTGATCTGTGGCGGCACTTCTTCGCCGTCAGTCTGTCAAAGAAGCGGGTCGGGAAGCAGG